TAAATCTTAGTCATTTGGTTGGTCAGCACTTTTTAGGGCTGGCTGCCGGGGTCGAGAGGCGGTCAAATCTACTACTCAACTCCGCAAGCAATCAATTGCAAATCTCGCCATCGATCGTTGTGGGGTTGTGCCCACACATCCCTCGAAGTGCACCATGCCCTCGAGATGAGTCACCCAGTACTTGTATTGGGTGGCTTCAAATGTACGAGTGGCTAATTTTCAGTTTTCTAATTTTCAGCCAGACGACACCCACCTAGGAGAAATCTTAGATGGGAGGCTCCGTCATAATTGCCAGCAAATCAACTCAACATCTCTCAAAGATCAACCACGCAATCACATCATTACTAACAACTTCACCACTACTTTGGCGACACCCACCTAGGAGACGTCTTAGGTGGGAGGTTCCGTCAAATACCAGCAAATGAACTAACCATCTCTCAAAAACCAACTCAACTTACCCAAAATAAACACTCGTCAACAGCTTCACTCTACCCATTTCAACTACTTGACCAAGCTCAAATTCTTCACATCTACAATCCTCGACACAGCAATATCACGAAAACTAATCATTCTTCAACGTCACTTCGCCCACCTCAATTACTCAACTACGGAAGAATGCCCTACGACACAACTTCACTCCCTTTCAAACCACAATGAACTATAAAACAAAGCTACCTAGGAAAAACAATATCTCAACGCAAGGACACTACCTCAACCACCCTCTTCAAGCTCCACTCCTTTCGGTCAACTCTACCATGAACGACAAGACACCAAACTCATCTTCCCAATAACGGAACAACATCCTTCATTGACTACAACTACCAACTAAGAATCAACCACTGCTCATCCAAGATTGTAATACGCGCAAAAAGCAAGGCTAAAAACGAGAAGCGATCATGTATTATCCTGTACTCTATGTTATAAGAAACCAAGAAAACGGAAATGAAAACAAGAAATCAAAAGAAACACGGAAAAATGGAACCAAGAAAAAACGGAAATGAAATCAAAGAAACACGGAAAAATGAAACAAAGAAAACAGAAGGAAAATCAAGAAAATGATATTGTAAAATTGTGTATGCAATACTATGTATTACATGTATATTTTAACATGCAACCTATCCACACAGCTAGCTCCTGGATTGAAGGGAGTGAACTGTTTGGAAGGAAATCTATTAAACCTTTAAAAAAAATACATATAAACACTGTTAACCAATTTTTGACCTTCAAATATCCACTGTATCCCCACACCGCGTGATAGCTACACGCCTACCCACCCCTAACCTGTCGGTACTAAACATCCAAACAAACATAAACACCGACTTGAACATACCAAACTTTCACTCTCCCGATAAATCGCTCACACAGCAATCTGTTTGTCAACACCCCCCCCCCTCCAAACATACACACAATATAAATAGTAACACATCAGCAGTTAGATCACACAGCACAGATTTTGACGCTTGGCTTGCCTTAAACACACACAGACACTCTCTCCATGTCTCGTCAGACACTCTAGCACCCCCCCTCTGCCCACATCACCCTCAGATATGATAACCCCACATCCCTTTTAACTGTTCCAACGACCCCACCATTCCCCCCCTCCAAAAAAAAAAAAAAAAAACATCAGTTTCGAATATTTATTCATTTACTTATTTATCTATTTTTTTAAATTCAATATTGTACAAATGTAAACGAAATCTGTTTAAAACAACAAATGTGTGTGTGTGTGCGTGTGCGTGTGTGTGTGTGTGACTACTCTACTGGTTATTCATTTTTCTTTGGTATTTACTATGTTTATTGTACAGAATGGGATAAAATCCATGTAAACTAGCTTTGTTTTCGACCATTCTTCCATACGTTATACTCTTCCACAACTTTTGTTGGCAAACATTTCACAAACCAGCCTCTTTTCAATTTTTGAACTAACAAGCTTTAAATTCAATGTATCTTTTGTATTCAATTACAAATTTCGCTATTTATTTACTATACTCTGTACACCAATGTAACTATCTTGTAAATATCCACCCAAACGGCGTGGAATGTTACTGTATTTGTTTTAAATTGGAAAATAAAAGTATAAAAAAAATACATATAAACCAATCATGGTAATATACCTTTTTCGTATATCTTTATTTTAATTAGATCTACCTTCATTTTAATTGTTGATCAACAAATCTTTTATTTAGTAATGTTCACCATTTTGTTCATGTAATGATAATTTTTGTAAACGTTTAAGCTATGTGTATATGCTGATGTAATTATTTCTATAAGAAAATAAAAGTATTTAAAAAAAGCAAATTTCAAAGTTCCCTCTAGTTAGGTATGACTTCAAAAAATTCAAAATGTACAAATATTGTCACAATAACAATCCGACTGTTCCAGGCGTAAATTACTATTTTATGCATCTCCTTGTATACTTTCAGCAGGAAGGGCAAAAATCTTGAAAAACGGCAGTCCTAGATTTCTTATTAAAATTGTTGGGTCAAATTATTTAAAATATGTTTGATCATGCATTGACTTTCGTTATGTGTTGTTTTTTTTTTTGCTCCTTGATTATAACTGCTGTGGTAAAAAAATTATGTGTGTATTTATAATAGTTGTGTTTTTTTTTTGGCACACACTGTTGTAGTTGTAGCCTACTTGTGGTACAAAAACATAGAGAATGCAAAACAACAGATTCTATTCACCATTCACAAGCGGTGATTTAGCATAGTTTTATATAAGTTTTCTAAAATAGTTTTACCCACATGTAGATGCTGTAATTTGAAGCCTATGTCTATATATACTAGATGTATTTCTGTATTTGTAGTTCAACAATTCAATGCATTGTGTATTATTGATTTAAAATTTAAGTTCAAAGATTCTAATACATAATAAAGCGTCTGTATTTATATGGGTTATCATTTGAGACAATACTATCAAAGACCAAAATATGAAGTATAATTAACTTATTGTGACATTGATGTAGGTATGATAATATCCTTCTATCAATAGCACAGTTAGTATGATAATATCCTTCTATCAATAACATATTAAGTATGATAACATCTTTCTATCAATAACATAATACGTACGAATTACATAATACGCAGAGGCGTAGCGAGGGGGGGGGGGGGGGGGCGGGGGGAGCGGACCGCACCGGGTGACACCATTTAGTGGGGTGACACCAAGGCAAAAAATAGCAAAATATAAAGAGAAAAACTTGAGGGGGGGGGCGGTGCAAATCAAAAGTTCGTAGGGGGGGGGGAGGTGCAAATCGAAAGTTTCAAAGTTTGTCCCCGGGAAGGGTCGCTACGCCTCTAGGGGGTGACACCATTAAGTGCCGCCCCGGGTGACACCCGACCTCACTACGCCACTGATAATAGGTATGATAATATTCTTACGTGGGGACGATAAAAACAGCAGAACTGTTATGCCAGTTAGCAAAAGTCTAGTTGTATTCATCTTCGTTATGTAGTCGTATTCTCACACACTAAAGGATGTAGAGATAATTCTGGGAAGGAAATAAACATAAAGCTATTTCCAATGATTAATCAGTGGGATTCCAAAATTTTTGTGAAACATGACAAAGACTTCAACGTTGTAGTAAATAAAACTTACCAGAGCCGCAGCGAGATCTGGAGTTGCCCAAACTATTACATGTAGGTTTATATAGAAGATATCCAAATAAAAATATTTGAGGAATTAAAGGCTTATCCTAACGTATTAGCTTACAAAATCTAAATCCAAGTACACATGAGAGGATTTGGTGCCTTACTAAGCTTGCCAAGACAGCTATTAATTTTTTAACTTGAGTTTTGGTGTTTTTTTTAGATCAACAACGATGTATTAAAACGGATTTGGTTGTATGCTTAGTTAGACGCCTTCATATCTAAGGCATTCTTTATCTATTGATATGGTAGCGTGAGCAAGTAGAATATGGCATCTGCTTGTTCACGGTGATCTAATACATTATAATTCACGCTTGATTTAAAATATTATCATGCCTGATTGATGTTCAATTTTATTTTGCTTGCGTGGTAAAAAAAATATTCATACGGCTTAACCTAATTTTTTTAATGGAAAGCTAAGGTGATATTGATTTGAACTAAGTGTACGCAACTGTAAAAAGCCAGTGGTGAATTGACTTTATAAGGATTAATGATTAAGGGGAAAGATTATTTCATGGTAGCGCATAAGGCGCCTTACATGAAAGCATTGAGTTTGTTTCCCAGTTATCTGACAGGTGAGGCTCCATAGTACTCTGGTTAGTAAACTCTCCTCATAAAGTAAATCGTGTTTTAATTAAATTAGCATATCCCATTTTAACCTATGCTGTGTTTATTTAATTTATATAATAATATAACTTACTCCAATGTTTAAAAGCATAGATTAATTTAAACATTGCAAGCAGAGTTTCTTCCATTCTAATAACCTAGAACATCTCCTTTTGTCGTTTGAGTGATCGTTACTGCTTGGGTTACTTCCCTTTAGTTGTTATATAAAAAACAAAGAAAAACAACTCATCGGATTGTGTGAGCTATCCTTATTGTCTGTTACTTCCCTTTGTTTGTGGAGTTTGTGGCGTTGAATTATCAAGTGCAAGTAGAACAACAAGTCTAAATGATGGAGTGATGTTTTACGACCTGGATTATATGCCTATTGTTGATGAGTTATTCAACATCAGTAACAGAACATCAGCTAACCTAATTATTCATGTGATCTTTACTGATTAGGTTGTTTCCCTTTGGCTGTGATTATTAAGAAACAGTAACTACATAAAATCTTGTTATTAAAACGTTTTTTATGATTTTTCTTTTTTACTAGGCATACTTTAAAATGTTTAATATAATAGAGTTATATGATTACAAACTTTACCCACTTGCCAACTTTGAAACGAATCTGTCAGTTACAAGTAACCTAAATTTCGCTCCAGCGTTTCGATTTATGACGACAGATAAACAGACTCTCAACAGATTGACGACAGAGGAAGCAAGTTTTAAAAAAGCTTGTAAAAATAATTAAAATCTTGCATCGTAAATTTATTCCTAAAACATTGAGTCAGTAAAGAGCAAATTGTCGTTAACTGATGACATTTTTCTACAAATTGTTTGCTAAATAAAATTTCTTTTAAACGTTTGTGAATTGATGGTAGATTAGTGCTGAGGGCTGCTCCTAGAGTTACTTTCGATTACTTCCCTTGAGCAGATAAGTTATCGTCGTTTGATGCAGTTTCTCTATGGCTGCGGTACACTCGACAGCATAGGTTTGGCTGGCAGTAGAACAATAGTCAACTTATAATACAAATTATATATATATATATATATATATATATATATATATATATATATATATATATATATATATATATATATATATATATACATATGCTGATGTACATACGACAATAGTGAACTTTTTAGAAATATATATATATATATATATATATATATATATATATATATATATATATATATATATATATATATATATAATATGCTAGGCCTTGCAACTAAATTTATATATAAATAGTAATAAGATTTATTCTCAGTTTTAATTTTAATAGTCTATCGGTGAATTCTGCTTGAAACACCAATATCACAAACAAAAGTTTGCAATCGACAATGTCGAAGAATGCAGGTTTGGTTATTTACTCATGCATTCTACTTTGTCCTCAAATTTTACATTTTACTGTAACAAGAAAATAGCAAGTGTAAGATAAATGTTTACGTTTATTGCTGGAATATTCACAGGCTCCGGATCTCTGGGGCTGATGACGAACGGCACTGGGAAATCTGACTCGGTGGTGTAGGGGTAGATCCCTGGGCCAAATATGCCGGGCTGGGGAGAGGTTCGAGTGAGAAAGCTTATTAATACAATATAAGTTGGTTGTAATTTTAACATTTCTGAATTTTATTTCTGTTTCGTAAATTCTAAATTCGTAATGAAATTGTAATAGTTCTACAATATTTAATCAAATTGAAGTTATAAATGGATAAATTATAATATGTTATATGTAGAGTCTGGAATCCGGGTAAATATAGAGTATATTTATAGAACTTTTATTGAATACATGTAGTTAGCGTTCATGTATGAGACATGAGTACAATATAGTTATTATTTACTTCGTTTAGCCTCTTGTACAATGAATACACTTTTTAAGATAATCAGTATTGATGTAGGCAAACGTAAAATGTCTCGTTGAAATGTATTTTCTCTAAAAGAAATCTTACATTTTACACCAAAAAAGGAAAAAAAGAAAAACGAAAATGCAAAAAAACGTCAGACCATTTAATTAATCGTTTCTACTTTGAGACATTGGTGTTTTAGAAAAAGATAAAGTCAACAGTGAAGAAGAAAACCAATTGAATTGGAAATAAAGCCCGTTCACTTTTTTTTCTAAAAGCTGATAAACTTCCCAAAAACAGAACGCAACTACAGTAATTGTATGATTGTCCATATTATATTGTATACTGTACTATAGTTTACTTACCGGATCCGCTATTGGCTCCGCTGGTACTGTAGCATAATCAGGTTCAATTTGACCCTGGTAATAAAATAACGATGAATAAATACAAGTAACATGTACATTTACAATCAACAAAATAGTGTGTTGTGTAGTTATTTATTGGTGATCGTTATCATGGTGTTATTATATAAGGTAAATAGACGATGATTTGTTTTCAATTTTAGTTTCTATTGCACTACACAAAAGCAGGAATTATAAATAATCTTACCTAATAAATACTACACAAATACTGATAGGCTACAGACGTTCGTAAACAAATGCTTACGACATATACTTAAAATAAGAAGGCCAGACAAAATATCAAACAAAGACCTGTGGCAAATTGATGATGGTGAATAAATACTATGTTGGTTTTCTTCATTCATAAGTTTGCAAGACTTCAGCAAATACATAAACTTCTACAGAAGTAAGCCACTATGTCTGTCTTCCTGACTATGATGTCTGTCAATGGGTTGAGGTTAAATCATAATTCTTAATGTTGATCCACATTCTATGCAGTGATTTCTATTTTATTTTTAATTGTAATATTGGAAGTGATGTCCTCTAACAGAATTAACTATTACGTGTCAACATGGTGTGCGTCCGATGACTCCAATTTCAGCCTGCTTTTCTATGTGCAAACTACAAACTACAAGGAAGCAGTTGTTTGATTTTGGAATTGTCTCTCCTAGACGGGTTGCTAGAGGCGTAGCGAAGGGGAGGGGGGGGGGGGGAGCGGAACGCACTGGGTGACACCATTTAGGGGTGTGACACCATTTAGGGGGGTGACACCATTTAGGGGTGGGGTGACACCAAGGAAAAAAATAGCAAAATAAATAGAGAAAAATGATAATTCTACTTAATTAAGTGATTAATTTGAGGGTTAAATAGTCTTTTAAGAGGTGCAAATCGAAAGTTTGAGGGGGGGATGCAAATCGCCTATGGGGGGTGACACCATTAAGTGCCGCACAGGGAGACACCCGACCTCGCTACGCCACTGCGGGTTGCTGTCACCAGCTGTCGAGCCTCGTCTGCCCGGTGGTCAGTGTTCCTTCCAGACTTTTTTCTCGGGGGGGGGGGGGGGGACTTGATATTTTCGGGGGGGGGGGGGGGGGGCGAACAAAAATTTCTAGGGGGGACACACACTGGTAAAAGTATATGTTTTCTATATAAATTCCATTTCGTTCGGGGGAGGTTGACTACTGGAAGAGATGCCTGGAAGAAACTGCCGGTGGTTTGAACTCGTTACTTTTTGATTTAGCAACCAACAGCTTTACCGACCCGACTTCTCCTGCCCCTTCCACCATTTCTGTTGATTGTTTTCAGGGATGTTTTTATTTCTGAGTCAATAACTTATTCTAAATAGTTGGCAGATAAGTGTCGTTTTGAGCTATTGATAACGTTTCAAAGAGTATAAATGTATTAAAATCAGCAGCATTGAAACTTAAATTTCATCAAAATGGAAATATTTTAATGAATATTATCATTCTATTTACAAAGTCTATACATATTAAAATATTGAAAATAAAATAGGTATAAAGACTACTATAACAATATATTTTTAAATGCACTATTAGAACATATGCATACATGATACGTAGTCTTTAAATATTATTGGTAGTAAAATATCACGGGTCACAAAGATTTTTTTTTTAATTTCAGGGGCGGTAAGCGATTTAGTTTTTACACTTGATTCTTACGTCTATTAATTTTAATGTATTTCCGTTAAATTAATACAATCTTGAAATTATATTGTGTGTTTATTTTTATCTGTTTAACTGCTAGATGCATATTTGTTATAATTGAAATTCTTGAATTTTATTACACATTTTATGTATTGCAGGCCTTCTACTAAAAACTATAATGCAATCATTTCTCGTTTATTTATGATGTTCTTTCACAATCAAATAAGCGTTAATTGAGAATTTCGTGTCTGCATTAACATTTCAGCTTGCAGCATTTAAATTATCTGTGTTGTATTTTTTTCGTTATTTGATATATTTTTTCAATGTGGGAAAAAGTTGTATTCACTTAGTACAAATAAGATAAACGTAAATTATATGTTGAATTTTGTTTTATGAAAATAAAATTATTTTTAAAAAAAAGCATTTAAATTATTCTCACAAGCCGGTGATGAATACTGTAATACTAAAGCGAACACGCACAACTGACGCTGTAAATTACATGTCTGAGGCAAAAAAAAATTTTTTTTTGAAACAACTAGTACATGTCCGCACTATTACAACTCTTACATTACTCTATGGTTGTCAACTGCTTTGTATTTTCCGATAAAATCTGACTTAAAAACCCCTGCCCCCACAACCCACCACACCTGCCCCCACAACCCACCACACCTGTCCCCACGAACCCACCACACCTGCCCCCACGAACCCACCACACCTGCCCCCACAACCCCATGACCCCACCACACTACGTCTTGCATAGCATCGATCATTTCTCTATTTTAATTTTAAATATTTTTTTTGCCAGTTCTTAATGTTTAATCGTCATCTTTATTTTTTTTTCATTAAGACACGTGTATAATTTCGGTCATATTCTGAATCCAATAGGGCTGGTAAGTAGGTCACCAACCAGTTCTACGGCTCAATTAAACCTGCATGAGCCATAGAACTGGTTGATGACCTACTTACCAGCCCTATTGTATAGTAGGATGACAATTGATTTACAATTTTGTTGTCAACAGCTCACGACAAGCTGTACATTAGCATGCCTGCACCGACCTAACTCAACAAAATAGGTGGATTAACCCAGTGGATCAAACCAGTGGATCAACCCAGTGGATTAACCCAGTGGATCAACCCAGTGGATTAACCCAGTGTATCAACTCAGCGGATTAACCCAGTGGGTGAACCCAGTGGGTGAACCCAGTGGGTGAACCAAGCGGAGCAACCTAGTGGATCAACCCAGTGGATCAACCCAGTGGATCAACCCAGTGTATCAACCCAGTGTATCAACCCAGTGTATCAACCCAGTGTATCAACCCAGTGGATCAACCCAGTGGATCAACCCAGTGGATCAACCCAGTGGATCAACCTAGTGGATCAAACCAGTGGATCAACCCAGTGGATCAACGCAGTGGATCAACGCAGTGGATCAACCCAGTGGATCAAGCCAGTGGATCAACGCAGTGAATCAACGCAGTGGAGCAATCCAGTGGATCAACGCAGTGGATCAACGCAGTGGATCAACCCAGTGGATTAACTCAGTGGATCAACCCAGTGGATCAACTCAGAGAGTCCAGCTCTTTGACGTCTCAAGGTAATTGGTGGGGTTTTTTCATTGTTACAGTAGATTATGCAGTAGATTATGCAGTAGATTTATGTTATTTCTATGACCTTGGTAAACGAAGATACATTGAAATCAGCTCTTTACCAAGACATACTTACTTTCTCTAACTCGAGCCAGGTACTCGTCAGAGCTGGGTCGGCTCAGAAGCGTCTTAATAATACAGTCGGGGATTTGAAATCGAGACGTTTGCGTTAGCAGTCGTGCACTCTACCGTCCTACCACGCTGTCCGTTATATAGGGTCCAGTTGCAAAAAAATCTAAATGTATATTATGTACTTACTGGGTCTGATTCTGGTTCATCTGGTATAGCGACGTAGTCAGGCTCATTCGGATACTGGTGATGAAATTATATTAGAAAATTAATGTGGGCAGAAGCGTTGTTTTATCTAGTATTGTAACATTCTTAAAACGTATAATCCTTGTTAAAAGTTGTCATTGGTGGTATATTTTTAAATAAATATGTTTTTGATAACTTTCATTTTTAGAAATGCCTTAAAATGTTTATTTTCTTGTAAAGTTAATATGGCTGGTATACTTTCAAATATATACGTTTTTGATAACTTTCATTTTTAGAAATGCCTTTCCCGCCAACTAGTAAACTAGTAAAAAGTGACAATGGCTTTTTAGACCTAACGATTCATTGGGCAGATGAAGTAGACTTCATATGTTTCTTGACCATATGCAAGAAATAGTGTGGTCAGTACTATGCCCAACCGGAGTGGTCTAACGGTAGAGAGCTCAACTGCTAACCCGAAAGTCTCGAGGTCGAATCCGAGTTCAAGTCAGTAGACCGTCCCTAGCCCACCCAACTCTGATGGGTACCTAGAGAAAATAATGGAAAGTACAGGCGAACAAGTGAACTCTACTTCACTTGCCCCATAGACCGTCAGGTTTGAAAGGGAAACTTTACATTACAGGCGGCTGGGCATAGTGCTGACCACATTATCCCTTCATATGCCGAGGTCACAGAAACAAGTGAACTCTACTTAAGGGAACTTTACTATGCCCAGCCGCCCTTACTTTCCATAACTTGAGTCAGGTACTCATCAGAGCTGGGTGGACTCAGGTACGGTCCACTGATTCGAACCCGGATTCGAACTCGATGGCATATTTACATTAGGTTGTCGGTAAAAGCCAGATGGAAACAAATGGGTCATAAGTTGATCTAAACTTCAGCAAGAATTGTGCGTGAATGTTCGTTTTGTTGTGGCCTGAGTTTCTTTCATGCATCTAGTTGGACACGTCCACAATCAACCTCTCTCCACCCCCCATCCTTTCCCAAACGAAATAGAATTTATATAAGTAATGTATATTTTTACCAGTGTCTGTCTTCATCTTGCAAAAATTAATCCGACACTCATACTACCACCCCCCCCCCGTGAAAAGGTATAAAAGAAACACTGTGGACATGCTATGGTGGTCCCTTTCCCGCTTCTACCCCCTACACCCCTTGAGATGTCTGAAAGAAACATTGACAATCTGTCACATTTGAAAGAATTTTGCTGTATCGTTTAGAGGAAAAGGTAGTTGTTGGTTGCGTGTGAGTACTTACAGGATACGTCATAATCGGGTCTTCTTGTTCTGGCTCATTCGGTGGAGGCTATCGGTCAGACAAATGTCGGTAAAACAGTTGTGATTATAAGTGTGATTTATATTGTTCGCTGTCGTCTTTTCAAAATATATAATCAAGTCTTTGGAAGATATATAATAAAATCTTTACAAGATACATAATAGTCTCTTCAAGATATATAATAGTCATTTTAAGATATATAATAAAGTCTTTTCAAGATATGTAATAAAGTATTTCCAAGATATATAATAGTCTTTTCAAGTTAAACAATAAAGTCTTTCAAGATATATAATAAAGTCTTTTTAAGATATATAATAGTCTTTTCAACATATATTATAGTCTTTTCAGGATATATAATAGTCTTTTCAAGATATATAATAAAGTCTTTTCAAGATATATAATAAAGTCTTTTCAAGATATAAGTTTTTTCAAGATATATAATAAAGTCTTTCCAAGATATAAAGTCTTTTCGAGATAAATAAT